GGCGGGTCGGTGCGGCGCGGGTGCGGGAGAGCGCGGGGCGGCTGCGGGGTGAGGCTGGGATGAGGGGTGGTGCAGGGCTGCGCAGGGCGGGTGCGGGGCACCTGCGGAAGGGGGGCAGACCCCTCCTTTGTCACCGGTGCCCGCGGAGGGGAGGGTCCGTTAAAGGGCCCAGAGCCGCGCTTCTAAATATGTATCCATTCTATATAAGTATGTATCACGGAGCAGGGGTGAAGGGGTGGGCGTCTAGGTGAGGTCACAGGGGTGAAGGGGTTGGGGCATCTAGGTGAGGTCGCAGGGGTGAAGGGGTAAGGGCGTCTAGGTGAGGTCGCAGGGGTGAAGGGGTCCGTGTGTTTAGGTGAGGTGGCAGGGGTGAAGGGTAAGGGCGTCTAGTCTAGGTGAGGTCGCAGCCTCCTCCCAAGGTCACCTTTGGCCTTGGCCTAGATCAGTCACCTGGGTGGGTTTACCACACTGTGGGGCTCCTAGAACACCCATAGAGCCTCTGGGGCACCCCTCCTCCACTGCTTCCGGGCCTGCCCTGGGGAGGAGGTGCCATCCAGCCCCACATCCCTCGCTGTCTCCCCCACTTCATTTTTTCTCTCATTTCTTCATTAAGTGCTGGGAATGGAGCCTCGACCTCTCAGCCCGCTTGGCTTTTTTTTTTTTTTGGTACCAGTCCTGGGGGTTGAACTCAGAGTCTGGATGCTAGTACTCTACCACTTAAGCCACAGCTCCACTTTCAGCTTTTTGGTGGCTCATTGGAGATGCGTCTCAGACTTTCCTGGCTTTGAACCATGATCCTCAGATCCCAGCCTCCTGAGTAGCTAGGATCACAGCTGTGAGCCACTGGCGCCCGGCCGGCCTCCCTTAGCTTTTTCACTCAAGGCTGGAACTCTACCACTTGAGCCACAGAGCTCCAGTTTCAATTTATGGCTGGTAAATGGGAGGTAAGAGTCCCATGCTTTGAACAGCCATCCTCCCAACTCTGCCTCCTGGGTAGCTGGGATTACAGGCCTATGCTACCACAGGCACCCCACTGCTGGGTGTGACCTTGGGAAATGGCACCGGGAGGCCAAGGCCTGTGTGAACAGGCATCCTGTATGTACTGCAAGATGGAGCATTTGCCCATCCTGAACCATGGCACCCATGTTGGACGGCTCACCGTAGCACGGTCACCCAGTTTCCAACAGGCTAGGCCACTGTTGGTGGAGCCAGGGACCCCGCCCTCTCTGTGCAAATCTGGCCTGGCATCCTGACATTCCGAGGCCTGGGTCAGCAGCACTCTGGCGTGGCCTTCGGAGGTGGTGAATAGACCCATTCACTGCCCAAACACTGGCCGCCTTCTGCGGAAGGCCAAAGGGTGAAGAAAGCAAACAAACAGCCCTGGATTATTCATTCCAGGGAAGAAAACCTCCCCGCCCAACCCGGGATGGAAAGGGTCCAAAGTAATCGGAAACTGACCCCTCCCTGGGGGCCCAGCAGTCCTCCCAGCTGGCCAGCAGGGTGACATGGCCTAACTGGCCGGAACTCAGGATAGGATGGATGGCTGTGACTGCCATTACCCATGAAGCCCTGGAGCAAGCCAGGGAGGAGAGCCATGGAGTCACTGTCCGCTCCCACCCCAACAGATCATCAAAAGCCAGTGCTGGTGGCACAGGTGATGGATAGCTGGATCTGTTGAACTCAGACTATTCTAGGAACTTTGTTTTGTTTGTTTTTTATTTTATTTTTTGCCAGTCCTGGGGCTTGAATTCAGGGGCTCTGGCGCAGTTCCTGAGCATCTTTTGCTCAGGCTAGCACTCTATCACTTGAGCCACAGCACCACTCCAGCTTTTTCTGTGTCTATGGTCCTGAGGAATGCAACCCAGGGCTTCATGCATGCTAGGCTAGCACTCTGCCACTGAGCCACCTTCCCAGCCCTAGAAATTATTTTTGTAGGTCTTGGGGTGAGGCCCAAGTGGTAAAGCACCTGCCTAGGAAGTGAGCACAGGCCTCCAAGCACTTCGGAATAAATAAAAATTTCCATTTTCTTTTATTGGTGTTGGTGGTGGTGGTAGCGATGGTGGTGGTGATGGTGGTGGTGGTACTTGAACCAGTGCCTGGACACTGTGCCTAAGCTTTTTTGCTCAAAGCTAGTGCTCTTCCACTTTGAGCCACAGCACCACTTCCAACTTTATGGTGGTTCCTTGGTGATAAGAGTCTCATGGACTTTCCTGCCTGGGCTGGCTTTGAACCATGATCCTCAGATCTCAGCCTCCTGAGTTGCTAGGATGCCAGGCATGAGCCGCCAGTGGCAGGATTTTTTGTTATGCTGGATCAAAGAATTGACCTGAAAGATAAATAGGACATTGGGGAAACAGCAGTTGCTACAAAAAGGAGAGTACACTGTGGGCCCCTCATTGGTTCAGGGATGTTCCTCTTTTATTCTCTGAAGCAGGTGTTTTTAGGACATCCCCTGTTGGGAGGGATTAAGCAAAAACAAAAGGGGCTGGAGATGTGGTTCAAGTGGTAGAGTACCAGTCTTGACCCAAAAAACCAAGTGGGAGCTCAGTTCAAGGCCCTGAATTGAAGCCAAACTACCAGCACAGAAAAGAAAAAAAAAAGATCTGGCCACCGGTGGCTCACACCTGTCATCCCAGCTACTCAGGAGGCTGAGAGCTGAGGATTGTGGTTCGAAGCCAGCCCAGGAAGGAAAGTCTATGAGATAAACCACCAGGAAATCGGAAGTGGAGCTGTGGCTTAAAGTGGTAGAGTGCTAGCCTTGAACTGAAGAGCTGAGGGACAGCGCCCAGGCCCTGAGTTCAAGTCCCATGATAAAAAACAAAGAAACAAACAATGAAGCATTGACTTGGGGACTTTCCCATTGACAGTTTTCAGAGTGGAGTTAACCACTGGTAACTGCCTGCTGGGGCTGAAGGCGGACGTTACGTTAGTGGCTTCGCTCCTTGTCATAAGACGCCTTGCCTGACAAGATATAAATAGTTTTGCTAAAATACATGCGTGTAGTTAAGCATTTCGCCTTGGTAATATATTAGGGTAGAGACATGAGGTATCTCATCTATTCTCATTTCCCAGCAATCAATCTGTCCCTCCCGTTCTGCCTGTACTGGCTTATTTTACATCTTTCCAGAAATATCCAGAGTATAATATCTATTCTGTTATCTTTCCAGAAACATTCACCCACGTGTATATAAGTTGTGTATACACTTGCATTAGTTAGAATGCATGGATATAAGATATTGATATGATTGTATATGTGTATGTGTATGATTGTGTATGTATGTGTATGTGGGGTTTGGACTCAGGGTCTCATGGTTGTGAGACCAGCATTCTACCACTTTTACCCCTTTTTCTTTTGAATGTGTGTGTGTGTGTGTGTGTGTATGCACCAACACTAAGACATGAACTTCCTCCGGGCCTGGGCAATGTCCCTTTAGCTTTTTCACTCAACTTCTGCTCTGCCACTTGAGCCATAGATCCACATCTAGCTTTTTGCTGGCTAATTGAAAACAAAGAGTCTGGGCTGGCTTCGAACCATAATCCTAGGACCTCAGCCTCCTGAGTAGCTTGGATGACAGGCATGAGCCACCAGCGTTGGCTTTTTTTGCAGTTTTTCCCTATAGGTAAAGGTTTCCTGGCTGTGTTTGAAGTGCACACTGCAGCCTTCTTGGAAGAGCGGTGTCAGCTCTAGATGGGATGTGATTTATTCCCAGTGCCATAATGGATTCAGCAGGAGAGATTTTTGAAATCAAATAGATTTCCTTCCTTATCCCCCTCTTCCCTCCCTCACGCAGCCCACGCCTTCACAACAGATCTTCAGCCTGTTTTGCTTGGGGATGACAAAGACACCATCTGGGAATGCAATCTGCATCGTGAGCAAAAGGAAGATCTGGGCTGTGCATGAAGGGGGGGATGGGTGGAGGGGGGATCCCAGGGTCTCTAGTTTTTCTTCTTTGCTGGTCCTTGGGCTTGAACTCAGAGTCTGGGCACTTGTCCCTGATCTTTATTTACTTTTGCTCAAAGCCAGTGCTCTACCATTTGAGCCACAGCTCCACTTCTGAGTTTTTTTGGTGATTCACTGGAGATAAGAGTCTCAGGGACTTTCCTTCCCTAGACTAGCTTTGAACGGCCATCCTCAGATCTCAGCCTCCTGAGTTGCTAGGATTGCAGGCATCAGCCACCAGTTTTGTAACTCACAGGGCTCTCTGGCTTGCAAACACAAGGATTGCCACTGGATTCTTGGGCAACGGAAGGAAGTTGTTAAAGGACACGGAGTACATCCAGGCACAGTGCTTCATGCCTGTAATCCCAGATACTAGAGAGGCTGAGGTCTGAAAGATGGAGGTTCAAAGCTAGCCAGGGCAGGAAAGTCCATGAGACTCTTATCTCTAGCTAACCATCAAAAAGCCAGAAGTGGAGCTGTAGCTCAAGCAGTAAAGTGTTAGCCTTGAGTGAGAAAGCTAAGGGACAGTGCCCAGGCCTGGAGTTCAAGTCCCAGCACTGGTGCTTGTGCACACACACACACACACACACACAACAAGGAGAACATACGAGGAGCTGGAGAATCAGGTTCAGGAGTTTGATAGCACGCCAAGAACAGATCGCAGAGGGAATGCTGTTGAAATCATGTGTAAACACCACCCAGGCTGAACCCGCTTCGGCCGGCAGCAGTATTCACACCACCTGGCTGACACTGGCAGGTGACCTTCCGCCCTGGCTGCCCAGCCTCAGCGCCCCAACCTCCTGGCCTCTCTCCCGTCTAATTGCTGTGGTTCCTGTGGGGTCTGAGTTCCATCCCTCCCCAAGTGGTGTCCCCACTGTGGAGACCCTTAAGAATCAAAGCTTAATGCCGGGCACTGGTGGCTCACGCCTGTAATCCTAGCTACTCAGGAGGCTGAGATCTGAGGATCACAGTTCAAAGCCAGCTCAGGCAAGAAAGACTGTGAGACTCCTATCTCCAATAAACCACCAGAAAACCGGAAGTGGCGCTGTAGCTCAAGTGGTAGAGCACTTGCCTTGAGCTGAAGAGCTGAGGGA